CTGAGAAGGAATTCAGAAAAATGATTATAAAATGTATCAAAACACTATAAAATGGAGTTGAGAAAAATAAGGAAGAAGTCAGGAAAGTGCTATAGGAACAATCAAATAAGATAGATACAGCATTGGAAATAATTCAAAACCTACAGAAAGAGGTTCAAATGATACATAACAGAATATCAGAAATGGCCAATACACTGAAAGGGCATAGGAGTAGAATTGAAGAGATGGAAGCCAGAACTAGTGAGCTGAAAGATAAATCTCTCAATACCACTAAGATAGAAGAACAAGCAGAATAAAGGATTAAAAATCTGAGGGAGGTCTAAGATTCATGTTGGACAACATGAAGAGGAATAATTTAAGAATTATCGGCATTCCAGAACAGGAAGACTCACACAAGTCCACAGAAGAGATAGTTGAAGAACTTCTGCAAGAAAATTTCCCTAACATCCTGAAAAGTGAAAAGATAAGCATTCGAGAAGCTCATCGAACCCCAGGAAGGATACAACCTAGAAGAAAATCACCAAGACATATAATAATCAAGCTCTCCAAATTCAAAGATACGGAAAGATACTTGAAAGCAGCTAGGGAAAAGATAAGTGTAACATACAAAGGCAAACAAATCAGATTAAGTTTGTATCTCTCAACAGAAATCATGCAGGCAAGAAGGCAATGGGGAGACATATATAAAACCCTAAAAGACAAAAAAACCCACCAATCAGGAATCCTCTACTCAGCAAAGCTGTCAATTAAATACAATGGTGTAATCAAAACATTCCAGGATAAACAGAAGCTAAGGGATTTTGCCAAAGCCAACTGTGAGATGAAAAACATCCTAAAGGAAGTTCTGTGGACTGAGAACCAACAAGAATAGATAGCAACCACAGAAAGACATACATGGCAGCATTAGACTGAACTCAATCAACAAATTAAAGAATCAAGAACAGAAGAAAATTATAAGAACAGAGGATCTGGGAGGTCAGTCAATGATCAAATCAATTACAATGTGAAAGAAGGTAAACACAGAGGAACAGAGATCCAGGTGGTGAGAAGGTCAGGTAGATTACAGGATAAAATAGACTGTCTTAAATGGAGGAAAGAGTTCATGGAATATAAGGTAACCACAACAGTGGATTTGAGGTGGGGGGGGGTTAGTTTGGGTGTTGGGGAGGGCAATATAAGAAGGGGAAGGATGTGGAAGAACAAGATAGATAGAGGAACACTGAGATAGGTTTGCATGGCCTAAGCAGGACAGAGGTAAATAGTGATGCATGCTCAACCTTGGAACAACGGGCTCTGTGATACAGGGATCTAGGCATTGTTTGAAAAGGGGAAATAATATTAAAATGCTTGACTGTCTTATGAATATTGGTTTCCCTTGTCTACTATTGTAAAATAGACACTTGAATGGGATAGAAAGGAATGTTGGGAAACATGATTACAGAAAACTTGTAAGCCCATCTTAAGCTTATAACTGATTGGAATACCTAAAAGGGGTTCTAGAACTTGCCCAGTGAAACAGGCTTCTTGTGGAACCTCTGCAGAGTATAGGACGTTAGGTGGAATCCTGAGTCCCATCCAGAACTTTATGAGGTGGAACATTCCCACTAGCAAGGACAAGCAGACAAGCTTGGAACAGCTAGAGTGACAGAAGATATGTCTTCAAAGAAAGATCATCAGGAAAAACCCAAAACAAAAATGTCAGCATGACTGGCTACTACAGGAATAAGCAAGCTGTTTACCAGGAAACCATCAAGGCAAGCAATCAAGTTCCTTCAG